AGAAAGTATCAATACATCAAATATATCCAAAGAAAGCTCGCAAACAGTACATCATAGAGCATTAAACTAACACACCGACGATCTACTGCGACAACATTGGAGCAACATACCTTTAAGCAAATCCGGTATTTCATTCTCGAATGAAACACCTGACATTAGACTATATGTTTATTCGCTAGCAGATACAAAACGACAGTCTTCGAGTCTCACATGTCAGCTCCAAATACCAACTCGCCGATGCTCTAATTAAACCTCTACTTCGCAGTTCCTTCTCTGATCTCTGCGTCAAAATAGGACTCACCGACGGTGTTCCATCTTGAGGGGCGTGTAAGAGACAATGTTAGAAAATATATGTACCTGCACATCTCTGTATTTCTATCTTTATCTTCTTTCATTTTCTCCTAGGTTTGTCCTTGTTGTGTACATGTGTATATATTTCTCCTCTGTAATATACGGAAGTATTGAGTCGTCATTGTCTCTTCTTCTCAATACCTTACACACATATATATATATATATAACCTAAAGGATTGGTGTAGATAGTTCAACATCTTCGTCCCTTATGTAGAGGTAAGGTTTCGAACTCTATGTGAGAAAACAATAATCATTGAGGTCAATCATTTACCGTTTCGCGCATTGATTTAGAGACAAACGTCTAAATATATAAAATTTAAATATGTCAATTTATAGTTGAATACTGTTAAAAAAATTATATATAGAGATATTTTTACCTTGAAAAAAAGGAGGATGACTAAATGGAACGCTTCCATTTAGATATTTTTTTAAGGAAGTATTTGTAATAGGTAACGTAAAAATCATTTTAGACAAATAACTGTATATCGCAATCTATTTGCATTGATTATCCATATGAAACATATTTCAGAAACTTTAATATTTTTGGAAACGAAGAAGTATTTATATAGTTTGGTAAATTTTCCATTTAATTATAACTTTTATTTTTTTAACCCCTAAAATTATAAATTTTATTTATATGGTATGGAATTATTATATGATATAAAGATACATGATTTACGGAGCAAGGATATAAGATTCTTATGCTCATAGACACATACCCATCAAGAAAATAAAATGTCGTGGAAAAATGAGATTAAAGAATTCAAAAATGAAAATTCAAGATGGAAAAGCTTGGCAGGCAGAGAAATGTATGCATGAAGGTGACAGGAGGGATATTTTAGGGGTCATCAATGGCAGCGGTCTCACCTGCTAGTTTTGAATAAAATCAAAAGAGATCTATAAATAATTATACTTGAATTTATTAAGCATTAAAGTCCAAAAAATAATAAAAAAAAGGAGGAATAATGACCGATATTTAAGCCAAGTGGTTATAAGAACCATTATAAATGTGTGTGTATATATATGCACCGTTTCATCAGTTGTTCCCGTTGTAATTTAGGATTTCGTGTATCCAAAAATAGGGTATCTTAATCTCATGGTCATCACGAGTCTCATGAAAACATTATCTCGGTTTTATTCTCGTGAGATTCGAGGACTACGCGATTCGAGTACCCGTGAATCCGTTGTTAAAATCTTCAAACTCGAGATATCTGAAACTCTACTCAAATTTATAAAATTGATTATAAATTAACTGTTTTAATAAAGAACCAAATTTTATACAATTTTACAATTTATAAATCCAAATTATACAAATCGAAATGTTTTTAATCTTATATAAACATAATAAATATAATAAAACTATGACTATAGTTTTTTTGGGTAAATTCTATAAGACTATAGTTGTTTTGAAAATTTTCATCTTTTCCATGATTTGGGTACTTCCCATTTGCAAATCGTCATATCCAAGGAAAAATCTTGATGTGTGTGAAACATTTTGTGGAACCAATTACTTCGAGTTTTTACCATTTTTTTTTATGTTATATGAATATGTTGGATATCTGAATTTCATGTTTCAAAAGATAGGACGAAATATCTTTCTTTTTACGTTTACAAATAAAATAATATCTAAAGTCATATCAACGTACTGAGAGAGAGATTGGAGGTTAGACTTCTATATTCATGTCCACTCACTTGTCGCCTCTTAGTTATATCTGATTCACTTTCCTTTACATGTGTTGCAAACTCGTGTGTGTGGGATTGAGTTTATTCGGTTAGCGCGTCCGAAGGACAGAAGCTACGACCCCTTGGTCAGTGCTCCGAAGGCAGCTACTGAGACCGAGGGTCAGCATACGCCCGAAATGTAGAAAAATAAAATACGGAAATAAAATAAGACAAATAGAAAAGAACGAAATTACTTTTATTGCTACATCTTTTCTTTTTCTGGTTATATTACAATGAAAATGAAATACATATTTATAGAAAAATTAAGAAACGGAGTAAAAAGAAAATATAGATACAATGGAAATAAATCACATATATAATATTTGATATAATGATATTGTATCTATTATTATTCTCCATCATATCTCAAATCTTATTTTATTCCAATCACATATTTGTTTTCTCATTTTAATACGAAGGACTGCAGTTGTTGCCGAGATTCCCAATGTATAAAAAAAATAATCAAACTCTGATTGACTTATATCGGTTGGACAGTCTAATTTTCCATCTATCTAGTCATAAGATAAAATTAGCATACATGGCTTCTTCCCCAGTGTGGGTCTACCCGATTATAAAAATATAAAAAAAAAGGATAAAATAAGCATGACGTGCTTGAAACTTTTGGCGACTTTCTGCGTGGAAAAATCAAAATTGGTCGAAAGTTCGACGCCACGTAATGTTCTGCTTCCTGTATAAATATCCCAACTCGCGGACTCCTTTTCACTCGAACCCCACCAAAAAAAAAAACAAGAAAGACATAATGGGATCGACGGAGATAATTCCGGCGAGAGTTTCCGACGACGATGAAACCCACCTCTTCGCCATGCAGCTCGTGAGCGCCTCCGTCTTGCCAATGGTTCTGAATTCGGCCGTTGAGCTCGACTTGCTCGAGATCATGGCCAAGAACGTCGGTTTCTCCGGCCAGATGTCGCCTTCGGACATAGCTTCTCATCTTCCGACAAACAACCCCGACGCTCCCGTCATGCTCGACCGTATGCTCCGGTTGCTCGCCGCGTACTCCGTACTCACCTGCTCCGTCCGCACGCTTCCCGACGGCGGCGGCGTGGAGAGGGTGTACGGACTCGGGCCTGTCTGCAAGTACTTGATCAAGAACGAAGACGGCGTCTCTCTCGCTCCTCTCTGTCTCATGAACCATGACCGCGTCATGATGGAGAGTTGGTACGACAACAAGAACGTAAAAAATTAATCACAACAGTTGATGATGATGGTAGACTAAGATATCAAAACAAATTGTTCATGTAGGTACCATTTGAAAGATGCGGTTCTTGAAGGTGGAATCCCATTCCAAAGGGCATTCAAGAAAACATTTTTCGAGTATATGGGGACAGACCCAAGATTCAACAAAGTATTCAACAGCGGACTGTCGAGCCACTCATCCATCGTGGTCAAGAAGATTGTCGAAACCTACAAAGGGTTCGAGGGCTTGACCACGGTGGTCGACGTCGGCGGTGGGACCGGAGCCACTCTCAACATGATTGTCTCTAAGCACCCGAACATTAAAGGCATCAACTTTGATCTCCCTCACGTCATCGACGGCGCTCCTTCTTATCCCGGGATCGAACATGTCGGAGGAGATATGTTCGCTAGCGTTCCGACAGGAGATGCAATTTTCTTGAAGGTCAGAACACCAATCCTTTTCATATACCGATATCCATCAAGATGAATGCATCTATATACGTTAGCTGAATGTTATCCATTTCTTGATCATGGCAGGGGATAACTCACGACTGGAACGACGAGCAGTGCGTAAAACTGTTAAAGAACTGTTACGAATCGCTTCCGGACAGCGGGAAAGTGATACTGGCGGAGTGGATACTTCCTGTCGTGCCAAACCCTAGCGCCTCGAACAGGCTAGTGGTCGACATAGATTGCTACATGTTGGCTTTGGATCCGGGGAAAGAAAGAACCGAGGATGAATTCAGGGCCTTGGCCGAAGGAGCAGGCTTCCAGGGATTCCAAGTTGTTTGCAAGGCCTTCACCCACCATATTATCGAGTTCCTCAAGAGGATATGAAGAAGACTTTTGCTGATATAAATGGATGAGCTCGCTATCTTCTTCTTTCTTTGTGTCCATCTTACGAGTTTCGATGTTTCTTTCTGTCTTCTGAGATTGCCCCAGTTGCTTTGGTGCTGCCATATGACGTCATCAATATTTTGGATGTGTTTGAGATGAATAAGAATCTCGTCTTTGGATATATACATATATATATATATAGGGTGTAAAACCGGCTGCCATAATAATATATTAAAAAATTATTTAAAATTATTAAAAAATAAAAAAATTGATAAAAATTCTTACTCGCGGGTTGACCGAGATGAACCGTAGCTTGGTTCGTGGCGAGGTGATTCATTGAATCCGTTTTTTTTTTTTTGGAATTCATATTTTTTCAACCCAATTTGGTGAAAACAACTTAGAGCTGGCAAGAGCGGCGAGGGACAACACTCGTTTCTACATCCCTTACATCCCTATGTATGAAATGTATGCATCTCTATATACGAGTAGGGTGACCATTTGAGGTTTCGGTTCGGATTCAGTTCGGTTATATTTGGATTCGATTATTTCGTTTATAGAAAAACTATAACCATTCGGTTTTTATATAAACTTCAGTTCGGTTATTTTTTGGTTCGGTTTCGATAAACAATTCATTTTTATCAAAAAATTATCGATTTTTTCGATTATTTTTTGGTTCTGTTTTGATTTTTTCGGGGTTAAAGAAATCATAACCGTTCGGTTTTGATATCAAATTCGGTTTAGATATAATTATATCTTATTCGATTCGGTTATTTGGATAATAACCGAAATGGTCACCGTGTATAAAAAAAAAAAAGTATACAAAAAACTGAAAAAGTATGCATTGTGGGTTTTTTTTGATCCTTGTGGATTGATAAAAGTTTATGGGCCTCGTATTACGTAAATGGGCTTTGTTCTATTTCAAATATGAGGCCGAACGAAATAGAAAATCTTGGAGCATTATATGATCAGGGTCGGTCCAAATTTCATTGGGCCCTAACTATCACGCGGAGAGAGGTAATCTCGTGACCTCAATGACATTCACGCGTCGGAAACTCGGAGCAGAAATACGCGGCGACACGTGGAAGCCAAGTTCTGAGTTTCGGATAAGTTTCAAACTTCCTTCTTGCGTCATCCTTTCGAACTTAAAACTCCGACATAAAACTGAGAAACTCGGATTCTCTCCTTCCTTCTGGATTCTTCTTGGCTTCTTCCATTTATATACACTCCACCGTCCATCCACGGAAACAGGAACAAGGGAGAGATGGTGTCCATTTTCAGCTTCTCCGATGCGTTATCAGCAGAATCTAACGGAGATAAAGCGATGAAGTCAACGCTCAGCCCGAAGCAGACAAAGCCATCGACGCCGGAGAACAACGCCGGGAATGTGTCCGAAGAAGAGCACAAGAAGCCGAAACAGCTGCCGGCGCAGGGACGACGATGGAGTCCGAGGATTGCTCCGGAGCTCGACGGCGTTCACTGCTTTGAGACCATCCTTCCCTTTTGAATGATCAAACTTGTATTCCTTTCCAATTGTTGAATATGTCATATGCTTTTCATTTGGCATCCGACCGAGATAGTTACAGAATACAGATGTTGTATTGTATGAAACGTTGTTGGATATAGAAATTTCGACGTGAAACTGATCGCATGCAAACCTTCGTTTCTATGGTACGCTGATAAGATTCAGGACATATACACACACACACCTATATATATACACACGTTTCCTATTCACTTGGGAAAACCCAAGAGTCCAATCCACTGAAGAATCAGCTATACGGGGTAAAAGGCCACTAAGCGTTAGGACCTGCTTCGAGCTGTCGTCGTCTTCCGGCATTAGCAAACCTTCGGCCAAACCCTACAACCAACGCAGAAGGAAGAAGCCCTTTGCTTAGACTGCAAGCAACCAGGACAGCTCCACAGAGAATCACCAGCTTTGGTATGTTAGGCCCGTGCTGTTGGTTCGAAGTAACAGGAGTTCCTGCTTCTGGGGAAGTCTCTCTGTCCGCCAGAGAGTTCAGATGCTGGGCCGTGATTTTGCTGTTGATCTGAGCCATGGCGGCGGAATGGGAGGGTGTTCCTCCACCTGAGAATCTTTCTTTCTGGTAGCTACAAAACCCGGGCTCCATCTTCTTCACTGCTCCCCACATTCCTTGCCTCACCCCGAGCTTTGCGAGTTCTCGTGGTATGCCCATGTCTTCATGGTGGAAGAGGATCACTTCACATGAGGTTTTCAGCCCATCACCTCTTCTTGATTCCACTGCACAAAGCAGAACTGATTTATTAATCCAGTGGAAAAAGTCTTGGGAAAGGGCCAACATTTCTAGACGACCAAACAATTGAGTTTCCCAGTTCGATCAGAACAGAGATTTCTCAAAACAGCAAGAAATGTCAAGGAAAGAACAAAACTTTATGATATTTCAGATCCTCTGAAAATCTCAGAAACAGCAAGAAATATCTGGGAGGGTCCTCTGCTAAACATGTAAGCTGAAAAAGGAACCGGATTCATGATCAATAGCCATGGAAAGACTGTAGATTCATTACCTGCTCGAATGCACCAACTCGAATAGTATAAGTCTACGCGTCTTGGCTTGTCGTTACGTGGGATAGAAGGAAGCGACACCCCCTGAAACACGAGAGAATCTCGAGTCATCTAACTGATCTTCCTTCCAGTCCGAACAAAACTAATGATGAGCCAGTTCTTCATTGTTACAATTTCCTTAACTTAGCATCCCATTACATTACATCATTCCCTCCTTCATCCAGCAATCACTATAGAGCCAAAAATCAATTATTTCATACCTTGGTTATGCAGTAGTAAGATTGTTCACAGTTCCATATCCGGCGACCGATGATATATTCTCTATCGCTGCAGAAGAACGGGAACTGACACACAAAAGACAACAAAAGGAGAGGTTAACATTCACAATGACAATTAACCAAAACTCAAGGCACCGCTACCGAACGCAATAAATTAAATAACACTATCTAACCTCACCTTACGTATCCATTTAACAATCATGGTTCCTGTTTTCGGACACTCTTCTAAAATGCAAGAATCCGCAAGCATATTATCCCACTTTGGTCTGAACTCGTCGTCCCAGAAGAAGTCCCTGACCAGTTCTGGAGTGGCATCCTCAAACACAGTCCTGCTGCGGTATTCGGTCGGACCAGTCTAAAAACACATCATGAAACACAACACAAACACATGAAACAAGACAGGAAAAAATAACCCAAAGAACTTCCTCAAACTCAACAATCATAGCAACAAAATTTCCTTCAGCAAACTTATAAAAACAGTACCTTGGTTTCTCTCCACCAAGCTTGATATTGCATACCAGACGTGGAACGATCCATCAGCTGCATCCAAGGAGGGCCGCCGTCTTTCTTCTCCACCAGTCGAACAAGATGTCCTAAATCTTCCTCCGTCACTGTGTTCGGCAGTCTCTCGTCCGTCTGATTCATTCTACACAAAAGTAATCAAATTTAGAAACTAAAGACCAACCCTTTATACCAATTTGTCGAATCTCAAGGAATTCTCGGTAATTACTTGGACTCTTCCGGTTTAGAAGATGCTACAGAGGGAATTCTCGTCTCTTGCCTGATGGGCATGGCCCATGGGTCACAAATAAGGGCATTTAAGCAAGGGGCTGAACCAAACCCCTTCAACGGAGAAGAAACAGAGAGAGAAGGCGAAGGCGGTACAGACAAATCCAAGGGTTTGGGGACCAAACAGCGTAGTTTAGCTTTGCCGCCATGGCTAGCCCGCCTTGGCTTCCATGTCCATCCTATAAGCACCCCAACAACGAACGCTACCCAGGCAAAGAACAACCCTACAATGGCGCTCTCAACCAAAGCCATAGCTATTCCCCAAAATAAAAAAGGGAAAGACGAAATCACATGCGACAGATCAAAAGGGAGATAACAAGCAAAAGGGTATGGCAACGATTGAAGAAGTGGATATGTTGAATAAAAAAAGGGAACTCTTGCAGAAGGGTGTATATATAAATACCAGGAGAACTAAGGCGGTGGGAGGAAGACGACAGAGAAGTTTTATGTGGTTGAAGAAAAGGACACGAAGGGCGAGGAGAAGATGATGATCATGAAGAAGTATAAGAAGCTAAGGGTTTATGTGTCGTTTCCCGATTCCAACAAAAAAATGGCGTTTTCCGCCCGCCAAAAGAGCCATTGGTGGAAGTTTGAGGGCCTTTTGAGGACGAGAAGAGACGACGAAAATGGGGGTAAAGGTGTGAAACTACGACCACCGTCCATTTGTAATTCTCTATTCTTTTGATTTTGAGAAGACCTCAATTTAGGGTTTATATTATTCACCCAAAATTATGGTGGGTTTATTAAAAGTTTTTTTTTTGGTAAATCGATTTTTTCTCGTCAAATTGGATTGGATAAGGGAAAAAACAAAAAACAAAAACAAAAACAAATTGGGATTGCCGTATTTGGAAATCGGGGGCCTAAGTCAAGCATCAGAAGTCAGACTTAACGTCGATCTGACCTCTCGACATCGCCATGTTAACGGTAGCCCTCCCATGTTGCTCTGTCTCCTCTTCCCTTCTGCCGACCAAATTCCGATGTCATATTCCGTCGGCGATATCTCTCTGTTCCCTTGGAAACTTCTCTGTTTCTATATTTAGGACTGAGCTACGGCCATGGCTGCTGCTCGGTTCCCTTGGTGATCGAGAAACCTCTCTTCTCGTCCAATGTCATTGCCTTGGTTCTCCCATTGATACCGGGACTCGGATGGGTAGGTGATTCTGGTAAAGTTTTACCGATTTTTGAGCCTTTTTTCTTTGAGGCATATTCACGAACACTTGTTGTGCGTTATCAGTTACTGGTTTTGCCTTGCAGGATTCTTTTTCTCGCTCTTCCGTCGACAGTT